AACGCGTACCATGAGTTATTTTAGAAATCATAATTATGTCGCGCGAACGTGTATATAACTACGATGATTTGATTAATTTAGAGCGTACTTGAAATATACTACCGTGTTCATGAATTATTTTTTCTAAACTAATTTGAAAATTGTTGTAAAGTCAAGAGTTATGAAATGTATTTGTGTAGAACTAGAAGTATGGAATTTAATTACTAGAATTATTTACAAAATGAATTACTTTACTACATTATGAAAAGTATTTGCAATTATTTATTATGGAAAAAATATAAGCTAGCTTATGAATTTTATTACCATGGGCCATAGTACTTAAACCATCCGACCCAAAAATTCCTAAAGGGATCTTTCTAATTTTAAAGTCAGAAAATTCCATGGCTCATTCTTCCTTAATATCAAAATTATTTCATGGCACATCAACGTTCGTATGGCCCAATTCCCTTTATACATAACTGCCTTTTTTTTACCTTGATTTACTATAACATGAATTTTTACTTCTCTAAAATTATATTAAACAAATAATGACAGTGAAAATTTCATGCCTTACTAATTCATGGAACTAAATATTCTATAAAACTAATCCACCAAAAATAGCTATAAAATTTAAGAAAAATTAACCAAGAACATGAAAACTATTATTGTTTATGGATTAAAAGGAAACAAACATATTCTTGCTAAAGCTTTAAACCAACAAAAGATGACAAACTAATTTATGCTAACTATGAACAGGAAAAGAAACATGCTCAAATAATCAATAAGTATGAACCATAAAATTTTACTCAAATACCCATCATAATAAAAAAAAAATCCAAACTTATATGTTAATCAAGGATAAAGTAAGAAATGGACCTCGATACAGCTTCTCACGAAATCGAATGAAATGAAGAAAGAAAATCTAACCGGAGTCTAGCTCGCCGGAGACCTCAATGAAAATAGAGAGACAAAGTCAGAACCTTGTTATGTTTATTAGAATACTTCAAGAGTGTTTTTAGGCTTGAATTTGGGGCATTTTCGAGTCTTAAATAGGGTGATGAATTGCTGAATTTTTCGAAAGAAAGAGGAAGAAAGAATGACATGAGTAGAAATTCCCTTAGCGTAGATGAAGAAAACTTATCTCAATTCCCTCCTCTCTTGTTTTCTCCCCTACTTCTCCTCACATTTTCTCTACTATTTATAGAAACAAATTCGGAATTTTTTCAGATTTTGTTTTTTAATTATTTTATTATTTTATTATTTTTTAATTAACCAATTCCCACTTTCCATTTTTCTTCTTTTTTTAAAAAAAAAAAAATTCCCACTTTCCTTTTCTTTTATTTTTAAATTTTTCACTTTTTTTCTTTTATTATATTTAAATTCCTACTTTTTTTACTTTTCTTTTTTTAATTTCCAGTTTCTTTTACTTTTTTTAAAAAAAAACATTCACCTACCTTTACTTTTTGTAACGACCCGGCCGGTCATTTCGAGAGTTATAGCCCCGTTTACCCTATTTTTGCTTCTTTTGTGCTTTACAACTGTATTATGTCTTACCGGGTTGGTTGGTTCGGGTCTGGAGTGGTTTTGGAGTGAATTGAGACGCTTAGTCTCTTAATTGGAAGCTTAAGTTGGAAAAGTCGATCGGATGTCGACTTGTGGGAAAACGACCTCGGATTTGAATTTTATGATTCCGTTAGCTTCGTTATGTGATTTTGGACTTAGGAGCGCGTCCGGAATGTGATTTGGAGGTCCGTAGTAGAATTAGGCTTGAATTGGCGAAAGTTAGAATTTTGGCAATTTTGGTCGGCAGTGAAAATTTTGATATCGGGGTCGGATTGGATTTCCGGAAGTTGGAATAGGTTCATGGTGTCATTTTTAACATGTGTGTAAAATTTGAGGTCAATCAGACGTGGTTTGGTAGGTTTCGGCGTCTTTTGTGAAATTTGAAAGTCTAGAAGTTCTTTAGGCTTGAATCCGGGTGTAATTGGTGTTTTGATGTTGTCTTGAGTGATTCGAAGATTCGCCTAAGTTCGCATGGGGTTACATGTCTTGAATCCGGGTGTAATTGGTATGATCGGTTGAGGTCCCGGAGGCCTCGGGGTGATTTCGGATGGTTAACAACTTGATGGGAGTTGAGGAATTGCAGCTGAAGTTGCTGCTACTGGTGTAATCGCACCTGCGGAGTGGGAACCGCAGGTGCGAGCCCGCATAAGCGAAGGAGGAACAGCAGATGCGGCTAAGGAGGACCTGGGTAGAGGACGCAGGTGCGATGGCATTCCCGCACCTACGATGGTCGCATAAGCGGATTTAGGGGCGCAAGTGCGAGTTTGGACCGTAGGTGCGATGTAGTTCCCGTACCCGCGAAGAGCACAGATGCGGTCAATTGATCGCAGGAGTGGAGGCAGTGTTTAGGGATTTTTCCGCAGATGCGGAAATGGAGCCGCAGGTGCGAGAAATATGGTTAGTACCTATAAATAGAACACTTCGAAATTTTTCTCCATTCTCATCATTTTTGCGCTCGGAATTAGGGGATTTTGAGAGAGATTTCGGAGTAATCACTGAGGTAAGTTCCTCGTGCCTATTTATCTTCAATAATGGTGCTTCCCCACTGATTTTACACCTAGTTGGTGAGTGTTTGAGGTGAGATTTGGGAGATTAGGGTTTGGGAATTGGAGAGTGAATTTTGGGATTTTGGAGGGGCAATTGAGGTCGGATTTTGATAAATTTTGTATGGTTAGGCTCGTGAGTGAATGGGTTTACGGGTTTTGTGACTTTCGTCGGGTTTCGAGACGTGGGCTCGGGGGGCAGGTTGAGCCGATTTCAGATTTTGGACTATATTGTAGTAGTTTTCTTGTAGAATTGATCCTTTTAGCCAATATTGATTATCTCGTACTGTTTGTGACTAGATTCGGGGCATTTGGAGGCTGATTCGAAAGGCAAAGGCATTTCGGAGTAGGATTTATGCGCGGTTGAGGTAAGTAACAGTCTTAAATCTGGTTTTGAGGGTATGAAATCTCGAGAATTGGTATAATGTGAATATTTGGGGGTGACGCACATGCTAGGTGACGGGCGTGCGAGCGTGCACCATGAGGGATTACGACTTGGTCCGTCCCGTGAGACTGCAAAGTCGAATAGCCATTGTTATTACTTGTGTTTCCTTGTCTTTGAGTAATTGACTATCTTTCATGTTAGAAACCATGCTTAGGCCATATGATATCACTGTTGGGACCCGCAACGGTCGTATACTTGTTGAATTGACTGTTAATTGTTGTCTTGTACTCAGTCACAGTCTTACTTGTGTGTTATATCTCTGTTTCCTCTCATTTCTTGTTGATACTTGTTGTATTCTCTGTTGGGCTGATTATTATGATATTCTGTGAGCCCGAGGGGCTGGAGAGGTTAGTGAATGAGACAGGGCCTGAGTGCCGAGNCGGGTTGCATGCCGCAACAATATTGGATCCGGTTGCATGCCACAACAATATTAGATCGGGCTGCGTGCCGCAGTAATATAGCGCTTGGGCTGAAAGAGCCCCTCCGGAGTCTGTACACCCCCAGTGAGCGCAGGTACCTATTGAGAGTGTGTATTGAAGGCTGAGAGCTGAGAGTATGAGTAGTTGAGATGAGTTGAGTGACTGCTGCCTTGAGAGGCTGTACTTGCTTTTATTTATTGTTGCACTTAGTTGCTATCTAATGTTGTTGCGAAATTTCTGGAAGATTCATATCTCTTTTACTTGAGCTTAAACTGATTTGACTTATACCACCGGATTTGAAAGCATGTTCACTCTTTACTGAAAACTTCTGAAATGATCTGTATTATTATAGTTCGTCACTGCTTCTCAGTTCCTTATTTAATTCCATTACTTGCTGAGTTGGTTGTACTTATGCTACACCTTGCACTTCATGTGCAGATCCAGGTGTGTACGATTCTGGCGGTCGCTGATCAAGTTCGTGCGCGAGCTGATTATCGAAGACTTACGAGGTAGCTGCAGGCGTCCGCGGTCCTTGTTTCTCCTTTCTTATTATCTTTTCTCTATTGTATTGGCATTTGGCACAGACTGTAGTAGACTCTGTTTCTAGATTGGTTATTAGATGGTCATGACTTAGTGACACCCCGATGTCGGGCTATCATTCCGCACTTGTGTTTTGGGTTTTTACCCCGTTATTATATAAACCTTCAGTTAGTTTAATTGCTTTAGCTCACTTCTGTTATATATTGAAAGCATATTGAGAATGTCGGCTTGCCTAGTTCCACGATAGGCGCCATCACGACTGGTTGGGTATTTGGGTCGTGACACTTTTATTTTTTAATTCCAACTTTCTTTTATTTTTTATTTTTTAAATTTTCACATTTTTTTACTTTTATGTTTTTTAATTTTTCACTTTCGTTTAAATTTTTTTTTAACAATTTTCACTTACTTTTATTTTTACTTTTTAATTCCATACTTCTACTTTTCCTTTTTTTTTATTCCCATCCGAATTTTTTTAAAAAAATATTTAATTTTTTTCGGTTTTTTATTTTATTTTATTTTAAAATAAAGATAAAAATAAAAATAAAAATAATATTAATAGTAATAATTGACCTTTTAAATTATTTTTAATTTTTATCCTATATAAAAAAATATAACAAAGCTAAAACATTATATATTAAATTTCTAAAAATATTTACATAATAGAAGATGATAAAAATTTAAATATAGTCAAAAATTAGGTGCTCACACGGTGGAAAGGTTTTGACAGTTTTCTAATAGTAATTCATGAAAGATCAAATCATGTTTCAAAAGTTGTTTTAAATGGACTGTGTTTGGATTAAAAAAGCCAAGATTAAATGGCAAAAACTAAGTGGTGTCTGAGATCTGTTCTTGTTCGTAAATACTCGAAGACATAGCGCATGAAATACATGAGCTATACATTTCTTCAAGTTGTGAATAACCCAAAAAAATAAAATCAACTTGTGTCAGCACATGCTCTTTCCACATGATTTATCCATGATGCACGGCACACTCCTCGCTGCCACGTTCTCTCTTCTATGTATGTGACGAAAATGAATAAACAAAAAAACTTATCGCTCAATTCACATTTAGTTTCACACTTACACAGCCATTTCAATACTCAAGGGTATTTGCAAGCGGAGAAGCTTCAGTGAAAATACATTAATCTTATTATTATTGATTTCTCATCCTTAGTCGGTGTGTTTCTACAGGATATTGATGGCAACAAGATCTGTTCAACTTGTCTGCTTACTTATTTGCTCTCAGGCCATCATCAAAACTGCATCTGCAAAAGTAAATGAATCATTTAAACAAGAGAAAGGCATAGATCATGCATACTTTGTCGATAGAACAATTGTTCAGAATGCTTTGTCAAAAGGAGCAGGTTAATTACACTACTTATTATATGCAGAAATTAATAACTTAAATTAGACAAATAAATGTATGTATTAGCATAAAAGAGTTATATTAATCCTTTTCACTTGCAGTGTGCTTGGACGGATCACCTCCTGCATATCATCTTGACCGAGGATTCGGACATGGAGTTAGAAACTGGATTATTCTACTCTCAGTAAGTTCAACGTAGCACAAGTTTGATTCTACCGTTTTATCTAGACACAGGGCTGTTATTATTTGTTTTTTCCAGAAATTACTTATAACATTGATAGTGCAAATAATTTATACTATCAGGATAATTTAACATGTCATAATAAGTTGTTTGCTTTATTTTCAGCTTACTAAATACACTTGCTATGAGCAGTTAACTTAAGTTATCTTTTAGGACCTAGTAATGCAAATATTCTTTTATATATTACCGGTATATAGAAGTTAAACTTTTTTTCTTCACAACATTGAGAAAAGCTATGATCTCTAATTCTTATGAAATCATGATTTTTTGAATCTTTTTAAATATTCGAAAATTTTTACTTTGTTTATAGGGAGGAGCATGGTGCAGAAACATCACAGATTGCCTGAACCGTTCGAAGACTGATTTGGGTTCTTCAAAACATATGACGCCATTCATATTTCTAGGCATTTTCAGCAAGAGCAAAAGTGAAAATCCAGGTTCTCTTGAATTAGGATACCCAACATCTCGTTTTGAATTATAAATAAAAAATTATTTCTTGAAAACAACTTGATGAAATGAAAATAATGAAAAGTTTGAATGACAAAGTTGGCTTATTAGATGTTGCGGTGGTGCAAATTACTCTGTCCAATTGTTTGATCGTACGGTTATTTATTGTAAAACATGCAGATTTTTACAATTGGAACAAAGTCTTTGTTAGATACTGTGATGGTGGAGGGTTCACCGGAGATATCGAAAGCATTGATCCCGTATGTTCTCTTTTAAGTTTCTGTTTTAAAATCTGTCTATGTTCATCTATATTAAAAGTGGAAAGTCATTAAGTTAAACGTTAAATTATTGAAATAACCTTCTTATCACCCAAATATCCTATTCCATTTTTTCAATTTAAATGACACATTTTACTTATTAGTCCGTTTCAAAAATAATGACACATTTCTATATTTGAAAATAATTTAACTTTAAACTTTTTATTTTACCCACTTACCCTTAATTAATAAGAAATTTTTATATCCACAAAAATATCATGCCCCATAAAGCTTTTGCCCGTTAAGCTTTTAGGACCACATATTTCAAAATTAAAGTCTTTATTTTTTCTCAAACTCTGTGTCAAGTCAAAGTATATCATCTAAATTGAAACGGATAAACGGATGGAATAGTTAATATTAAAAATATTAACGCTCAAATCCTAAGAGAAGCCAACGCTTGATACGCTACAACAGCCCCAACGTAAACGTACGACTTAACGACAACTTGAAATGGTGGCTTTTTTTCTTGCACTTTCACGTTTATGTAATTCCTATTTTACAGTATGCTAAATTCCTGTTTTACTGAGTATGTTGTGTTCTCTCTGGGATGAATTATCAGCATTGGTTAAAATACACTATAATCAGAAGTCTACTACAGATTTTCGTTTGGTGTCACTAATCACTATTTGTATGTGAAGAAGTCATCATGCTTAAAAGCTCATTCAATATATATTGTTTTTGCCGTCGAATTCATCACATGCCTAATACACGGGTTTTGATTACAAAGAAAGGGAAAGAAATGGACAAGTATAATATGCACAATCAGATTGTTAGTTCTTGCCCGGGAAGAAGATGGTTTTACCCAAGTACTACGCTAATAATCTATGTACTTATATATCATACTTTATACATGTTATCTTGATTTAAGTGTATGTCAATTCTTTCGTGCCATAATACAGTGCATGCCCTTTTGGAAGATTTTTTGGTCAATGATATTATTAAAGAGAAGAAACTTAATGATACTTTCTTTTACTATATTGCAACATGCAAATTCTTCTGTCAAGTCATACTCCCTTATCCGTTGTGCCATATTTCATTTATGTCTGAACATCTTTCTGATTATTCTGTTGTTCTTCCTCCTGATGATGTGGGAAAGATTAATTACTTACATTTCCTCCACCGGTTAATACCCTTTGAAGGTCTGTCATGACAACCCATTAAGCTTGAAATAATTTTTCACATGTTGTGTTATTTGCTCTTAATGTATCATTAAGCAAAGGCTTACATCCTCCGGTCATCATTTTTTTAATATTGCGTAGTGTTTCGAAGTTATTTATTTAGGAGCACTATACTAATCTTTGAACTATCGATGAAGTATCTCTCTTGATGTTGAGACTTTGACATGCATGAATTGGCCGGCGTGTATTATTAGTATAGTCATGTATTATTGTTTTTAAAAAGAGAAAAATAGACCAGTCCTCTTCTTGCTATCAGACTTAGGTCCAGAAATGCCAGTTGATGGTCCAAATAATGCTTATTTATTTTAGGGAAAAGGTCCAGATTTATCCATGTACTATTAAAAATAGTTTATATGTATCCTCGTTTATACTTTTCGTCTAAATTTACACCTACCGTTAGCATAGTAAATAAATTTGCCCTTATTCCTAACGGATATCCACAGTGGCCATATGACGCAGCAAATAAAATCCTTAGGTGGAGTCTATGTCACCATCCTTTTTTACTAATATCTTACTTTTTACATTTATTAAATTAGAAAATTTAAAGAGAAATTGTCTCTCATTTAACCTAGTTTTGTTTTATAACTTACTCCCTCTCTCCTTTAGAAGTTATCGGCGACGGCGAGATCAACCGGCCTGTTAACCTCCAAATCAGATCTTTGTGTACTTAATTCTATCCCTTTGTTTCCACCCTCCTCTCTCTCTCTCTCTCTCTCTCTCTCTCTCTCATACTGTATCCGCCTGCATGCAACCTACACGAAAACACGCACCAGCACCAGAAACCAAATTTGTCCGAACATCATCGGAAGCCACCAGACCCAAAAACTCTTCGACCATGATTTACCTTTCTTGCTTACCCAAATTCAGATCCTAGTCGAAAAAAAAGAAACGTCGGTAAGTAGCATTGGCGTAAAAAATGGCAAGTCGGGGAAATACGCACAAACATAGATCTGTACAAAAATAAGAAAAAGGGGTAGAAGCAGCTCCACCACCTGTATTTTGTCGAAAATTGATTCGGCGTCTATCGCCGTTAGTAGCAACGTCTGACATTGCTGAAATCTACGTGATTTGCCATTGAAGAATGAGCAGTAAACTCGATGCTACTCTTTTGGAATTACAGAGCATGTGAGTGAATGGGCTAAAGAGAGGAATATCTTGAAATGATAACTGTTATTGGTATTCATTTACAATACAAGATATATACATGTGATATAGCTAGCTAACTCCACTAATGCTTAGCTAACTAACAGGCTGGATCCGTTAATTTACAGCAAGAAACTAACTGTATAACTGCCTAACTAACATAAATACCTAACTAACAGTACTAACTAACAGTGTCACTTCATAATACTCCCTCTCAAGCTGCAGAGTGTAAAATGTTAATCACACCAAGCTTGCCTAAGAGGTGATTGTGTTGAGCCTGACTTAGTCCTTTGGTAAGCAGGTCAGCCAGCTGATCCTTAGTGTTCACATAGATTGTCTGCACAATTCCATCTTTAATATTGTCTCTAATAAAGTGGCAATCTATCTCGATATGCTTAGTAGATTCATGAAAAATAGGATTAGCTGCAATCTGCATAGCCGACTTGTTGTCACTCATAACTGCAACAGGTGTCTTAACATCCACTCCAAGCTCTTTAAACATGCCTAGCAACCAAGTAACCTCTGCTACAGCTGAAGCCATGCTTCTATACTCAGCTTCTGCTGAACTCCTAGACACTGTATGTTATTTTTTTTTATTTCCATGAGATTAAGGATTCACCAAATTTGATCACATAACTAGTGACAAATCTTCTTGTGTTAGGACAGACTGCCCAGTCTGAATCACACCAATAAGTTAACTCTGTAGTAGGGGCTTCTAATCTCAACCAAATACCTTGGCCAGGAGAGCCTTTCAGATACCTTACTACCCTTGGTGCAGCCTCCCAATGAGACCTTTTTGGCTGCTGCATAAATTTACTTAGTGTTTGGATGGCATAACTAATGTCTGGTCTGGTGGTAGTGACATACATCAGTTTGCCAATCAGTCTTTGATACAGACCAACATCGTGCAAAACTACATCACCTTTAACTCCAGTTGTAGCATCAAATTGCACTGTGGTGAGCTTTAGGTTTGTTTCTAAAGGAGTTACAGCTGGCTTGGATGCACTGAGCCCCATACTGGATATGAGTTCTAGGACATACTTCCTTTGATTTAGGATCACTCCTTTATTGGACCTTAGTACTTCAATCACTAAGAAATACTTAAGCTCACCTAGGTACTTCAGCTTGAATCTTTGATGAAGAACATGTTTTGCCTCAGCTATCAGTGCCTCATCATTACCAGTTATAAGTAGATCATCAACATAAACCAGGATAATCACCAAACCTGCACCCTTTCTCAAAGTAAACAAGGAGTAATCATGGTTACTCTGCACAAAACCTCCCTCTGTTAAAGCATCAGATAGTTTGACATTCCATTGTCTTGAAGCTTGTTTAAGCCCATATAAGGACTTGAGTAGCTTGCATACCTTTGCTCCCCCTGTCTTCTGAAGTCTTCAGGCATATCCATATATACTTCTTCACAAAAATCACCTTGTAAAAAGGCATTATAAACATCCATTTGATATAGGTTCCAACCATCGGAAACTGCCAAGGCTATTACTGATCTGACTGTGACCATTTTCACTACTAGTAAAAATGTATCATGGTAATCAAGTCCTTTTTGTTGACTGTATCCTTTTGCAACAAGTCTAGCCTTGAACCTTTCAACATCACCATTAGCTTTATACTTAATTTTATACACTCACTTGGACCAAAGTATGTTTACCATGTGGTAAGTCAACTACTTCCCATGTTCCGTTATCTTCTAGTGCTTTGACCTCTTGTTTTATAGCTTCTACCCATCTTGTATCCTTCACAGCCTGCCTGAAGTTTTGAGGCTCTACCAGACTGAAAAAGTTTGCTAGGTAGGATTAATATGTAGGAGTAGTTCTTTCATACGACAAACAATTGGCTATAGGATATTTTCTGCTTGACTTCCCATGTGTTATGTAGTCCTTTATCTAGATGGGATCTCTAGATTCTCTAGTTGACTTTCTGATAGAAAGCTGAGGTCCTTCTGCTTGCATGCTCTCAAATTGTGAATAATCAGTTATAGTGGTCATGGGATTTGATATTGGAGCGGTTGGTTGAGACATCATATTCTCTTCTTCTGTGGCTATTTCCTGTGCACCTGCATTCCGATTTTGTTCCTCATTGGTATGATTAACCTCTGAGGTAGAAACATCATAGTTAGGTTGTTCCAAGAAACTATGATCCTCTGAATCAGATTTAACAGTATCTTGAGCAAAAGGAAACTCTGATTCCTTGAAGACCACATCTCTATTGACAAAGAATTATTTTATAGCTAGTTCTATTAGGATATATCCCTTTTGTCTCTTAGAATATCCCATGAGCACAACTACCTTTGCTCTTTCTGCAAATTTATCCCCTTTTGGAATGACTGTTGCATAGCATAGACATCCTATAACTCTTAGATGTGTTAGTGATAGTGGTTTGGTATGCATTACTTCATATGGACTCTTTCCTTGAAGTGCTGCTGAATGCAGCCTGTTTGTCAAGTATACATAAGCTATAACACACATGCCCCAGGACTTAATAGGCATTTTTGACTGAAACCTTATGGCCCTTGCCACATCCAGAATATGTCTGTGTTTTCTCTCCACAACACCATTCTGTTGTGGAGTGTAAACACAACTACTCTGATGCAGAATTCCCAAACTC